AGGACAAGCGGCCATCTGCTTCGACCAGCTGGGTTTGAGAGGAACAGATACACAATGGCAGGTCAAGAATCACGTTAAGATAGAAATAGTATCAAATGAAAACTATTCAGTTTTAACAATTAATTTAAGGAAATTAGGTCAATTTCTCCTCCAGTAGTCTAAGCCTATAGCAGCATAACAACAAGCCAACCCTAACTATAGGATTTATCAAAAAGGAAAGTCTTAAGCCCAGTCTTAAAACTGGACAATGTGTCGGCCTCACAGACAGAAACTGGAAGTTGGTTCCACAAGAGAGGAGCCTGATAACTGAAAGATCTTCCTCCCATTCTGCTTTTGGAAACTCTAGGAACTGTGAGTAAACCTGCAGCCTGAGAGCAAAGTGCTCTGTTAGAAAAATATGGAAGAATAAGATCTGTAATATAAGATGGAGCTAGGCTGTTGAGAGCTTTGTAGGTTAGAAGTAAGATTTTTTATTAAATTCTGGATTTGACAGGAAGCCAATGGAGAGAAGTAAAAACTGGAAAGATGTGATCTCTCCCACTAACTCCAGTTAAGACCCTGGCAGCAGCATTTTGGATTAACTGAAAACTTTTTAAATAAGTATTTGGACACCCAGATAACAAACCATTGCAAATGTCCAGTCTAGATGTGACAAATGCATGAACATAAAGTAAAATAAAATAAAATAGTTTCACAACAAAACATTGGATTAACACAGTCTGAACAGCATCTGATCACTGCGCCTCTTATAGCACAATTTACATAATCAAATCTTGTCTTTTCAGAGCCTAAATCAAATGTTTGCAGAACAGATAAATGTTTTCAGAATGATGTCTGCTGACTTTAAGATTTAAAACGCTGAACTTTAACCTTTAATGAAGAATTCCCATGCTTCTTTCTATCAGTCTGACATAGATAACGACCTGGTTGGAGACTCCTGTGACACAAACCAAGACAGGTAACAACACTGTCACACCTGCACTGCTGGGATCTTTTTAAAGATGTAACCAGATGTTATTGTGTCCTTTTCCCTTGTAGTGATGGTGACGGTCACCAGGACACCAAGGACAACTGTCCTCTGGTGATCAACAGCTCCCAGCTGGACAGTGACAAAGACGGGCTGGGAGACGAGTGTGACGATGACGATGACAACGATGGGATCCCGGATATTTTACCACCAGGACCAGACAACTGCAGGCTGGTGCCAAACCCTGAACAGATTGATGACAACAGTGAGTTTCTACACAATACAAAGAAAACGACTTATTGTTTTGCTCATGAGACATTTGTCTGCCAAGAAAACTAGTTGTTTTTATCCCCAAGAAAAAAAAAATCATCTGACTTGTCCTCATTCTGCCTGAACATTTTCTGTCGTTTTATTTATTTATTTATTCCCGGGCTGCAGCTTTCTACCCACACAGATCAAGCGCTTTAAGTTAAAGCCCATTTTTTTGTGCTTGAGTTTGTTCTTTGGCACTTTTGAAAGTCATGGTGGCATTACTTAGTTTAAAAGGTCTCCCAGGGAAGCTGGCACTCAGTTCAAAATAAGTGGATCAACAACGTTCTTGTTGGTAAATTTCTGTCCAACAGTCTGAGAGTTTGACGGTGGCTCAAAAATGGACTAAAAGTTGTATATCCCCTTGAATCCTGACGACGTTTTCTCAATTTCTATTGAATAAAAAGGAAAAAATGCTAATGCTCAAACAGCTGCACATCAACACATTCACAAATGTATCAACTTTATTTGTATAAGACAACAAGATCAGGAAAGACTCAAGTTGTGAAGCATGTAAAATCAATCTGATTGCACAAAACAAATAGCTCACAAACTGCTGTGTGTCCTGTTATTGCTCAGTGCACTGCTGCACTTTTCTTTTAGGGGCTGTGTTCTGGTAAATTATTTTATGTTCTGCACCTTTGGATCCCCTTAGCTGCTTATCTCTTCTGCTCCCCCCACTCTGAAAATATTGTTGTTCAAAATCAGAAGTGCAGAAACTGATTGCCTTCAGCTTGTTTGGACGGGCCTTTAAGGCTGAGTCATGTGTTAGAGGTAAAAAAAAAAAAAAAGAACATTAAAAGGCTGATTATTAATAAGTTTTATATTCTACTTGTTTTATTGCATAATGAACATCCAGCCAATTCTCATTCATACTTTAGGAACTAATTTATTAATTACTATGGACAGACTTAAAACTGCATCTTGCAAACTCAAGCACTGAGGTCAGCTATAAAAACACAAAACTACACAAATCATAGTATGGACAGCGAAGAGCTTAAATTCAAGTTTTTCTTTCTGAATTCAACTCCATCTTTTATCAGATGACGGCATTGGAGATATTTGTGAGTCGGACTTCGACCAGGACAAAGTGATTGACAGGATTGACAACTGTCCTGAGAATGCAGAAGTTACTCTGACTGACTTCAGGGCTTATCAGACGGTGGTCCTGGACCCTGAAGGCGATGCTCAGATTGACCCTAACTGGGTTGTCCTGAACCAGGTGAGGTTCAGATGTGATGTATATTTGAATGTGTGTGGATTTGTTTTTGTTGTTTGTTCTTTTGCCATTTTTTACTTCTTTTCTTTCTTCTTTATGTGCAGTTTGCAGACTTTTATCCAGCATGTGGCTATTGTTTATTGAGTATGCTCCTTTACTGGTCTATCTGCTCAGTTTTTAGCCTGTGAACAAACTAAAGGATTCAGTATCTGCAAGATAAACGTGGCATAAGAGCTGAGCAATGCACTGCTTTTTGCTGCTATGGTTGTTGCAGTGTATTTATCTAAAACCAGAGGTTTAAAATTTACTAAGATTTATTGTCATTTCTCTCTTTTGTTTTCAAACAGGGGATGGAAATTGTTCAGACTATGAATAGTGACCCAGGACTTGCTGTTGGTAAGAAGCACATACCTTCTGGGTTAAGAAAATGTCCACCTTCTCCACAAAGCCCAACCCTATATGACTTTATATGACGTCAGGTTACACTGCATTCAGTGGAGTTGACTTTGAGGGGACGTTCCATGTGAACACGGTTACCGACGACGACTACGCCGGCTTCATCTTTGGCTACCAGGACTCGTCCTCCTTCTATGTGGTGATGTGGAAACAGACTGAACAAACCTACTGGCAGGCAACGCCTTTCAGAGCTGTGGCTGAACCCGGCATTCAACTCAAGGTGAAACACAAGTGATGCTGAAAAAGGCATTAATGCAAAATCCTACAGCTTTTCATACATTTCTGGGTTTTTTTTCTTTTTTTACTTTCAGGCTGTGAAATCTAAATCAGGTCCAGGGGAACACTTAAGAAACTCACTGTGGCACACAGGAGACACCAACGACCAGGTGCGCCTGCTATGGAAGGACCAAAGAAATGTCGGCTGGAAGGATAAAGTGTCCTACCGCTGGTACCTGCAGCACCGCCCCCAAATTGGATACATCAGGTAGGAGAAATAGTAAAAAGTAATTGCTAATTTATGCTTCTTTCTGCATCTTTAGCTACTATTAAGCTGTTTTTGAGAAATTTCTGCTTTTTTCATATAATTTCCACTTTTGTGCTCATTTCTGTTTCTTTCAGCCTAACTAAACAAACTTGTGCTCTTTTTTGCTTCTTTTTGATAATTTAAGCTTCTTTCTGCTTCTTTAGCTACTATTCAGCTGTTTTTGATAAATTTCTGCTTTTTTTAGGTCATTTCCACTTTTTGCGTTCATTTCTCCTTCATTCAGCCAAATTAGGCACAATTGTGCTCTTTCTGCTAACTTAAGTATCTTTCTGCTATTTTAGCTACTTTTCAGCTGTTTTCTGCTTATTTCTGCTTTCTTCAGATAATCCCCACCTTTCTGTGCTAATTTCTGCTTCTTTCAGCCTAATTGGACAAACTTGTGCTCTCTCTGCTTCCTTCTGCTAATTAAAGCTTCTTTCTGCTTCTTTAGCTACTTTTCAGCTGTTTTGGAAAATTTCTGCTTTTTCAGATAATTTCAACTTTTTTGTACTCTTTTCTGCTTCTTTTAGCCTGATTAGGCCCAATTGTAGTCTTTCTGCTTCCTTCTGCTAATTTTCGCTTCTTTCTGCTTCTTTAGCTACTATTCAGCTGTTTTCTGTAAAATCTGCAGCAATAAGCATTCACACTGCATTTCACAGGAAATGCAATTTCTCTAGAAAATGAAATGAAAAAAAAAATGAAGACTACTTTCTCATCTGTCAACCAGAAATTTAAAGCATAAATTAAAAACTGATCAAAGTATATTTTGTGTGTCCTGTTCAGAGTACGGTTCTACGAGGGAACCGAACTGGTTGCGGACTCTGGTGTGACCATTGACACGACCATGCGGGGAGGACGACTCGGCGTGTTTTGTTTCTCCCAAGAAAACATCATCTGGTCTAACCTGAAGTATCGCTGCAACGGTACAGAAACACAATTTTACCTTCTTTATATCGCCTGCCATCATGAAAGACAAATGATGGTGCGATTCCCTGTGTGTGTTCCTTTTTTTCTGTTTGTCTGTTAGCAAAATATTTCAGGAACCACTACAAAATATATTATTGAAACTCCTAAAACATTAATAATTGTATGTGAATGAGACTCTTCACCATCACATAAGCAGAGCACTAATAGGAGAGATTTGGTTAAAAATTTATTATACCATTTATGGGCAATATGCCTTCTTTTAAGAAATATTTTATTGTTATTTTTTTCATGTTTTAACGTGATAAAAACTTACAAACTACAAAGCAGAACTTCAACCTCTTGGTGTAAAAGAACAACACTCTAATCAATCATTTCAGCAACACTTCCTCCATAACCCGAGCTCTTTTTTTCAACTGAGAAAGAATTGTTTCATCTTGTTTCATAAAGAGCTGCGAGGTGAAAACCTTTGACCTGACTGTTTCCATTTTTCTCATAATACCTGCTTTGTCATTTGTCTATTTTATTTTATTTTTTAGACACCATCCCCGACGACTTCCAGGAGTTCAGCACCCAGCACACCATCGACTCAATCGTCTACTGATGCGTGACATCAGCTCTGCAAACGATGCATCTCTGTGTGGATGTGTGTGTATATATATGTGTGTGGGGGGTGGTATTTTTGTGTGTGTTTGTGTTTTGTACGTGCCATTACAGTAACATATATGACCTCAGTCATGTTCTGTATGTGCATCAGTGTTGTTTTTTTAAACCAAAATGTGTTTTCTTCTGTAATCATCTTTGAAAACACCCAGCTGAGATGTGTATTTTTTAAGTTATACTGATTTCCATCAAGCGCAAATAACAAAGTAACTATGAATGCAATCAAATGACATTACAGCTTGCAAGGAGCACTATATTTGTTGAATACTAAGAAAATAAAGATGTACTTAATCTGAAAAATCAAAAAACAGACGTGCAACAAAAACAGTTTTGACCCACAAAAAAAAAAAAATGCTGTAAATTCAAATAAAAAAAAACTGGTTTTATTGAACCCTATAGTTCAGCAACACCCACATCTAAATGAGTTTATCTTTGTCCCCCACAGAGATCAAAAGAGGTCTTTGTGCCTGAAAAGAGAGCAAAAGCACATTTGCCTGCTTCTCCAATGTGCTTGCAATAATTTACAACATTATAGATGTGTTTTCCTCGGGTCTCTGTTCAAAATCTAACAAAACAAGTTGAAGAAATAATAAAATCCTGCTGGTGCCACTGAACTCCCCTTGGTTTTATTGTGCTGCCTACACACTGCAAAAGCATTTATTTTAATGGACAATAATCAGTTTGTGGTCTGTTTTATATGAGGGAAAATGTTTTTCCGCAAAAGTTGATTTCCTTATAAACTATCTAGTATTAAGGATGTTCAAGTTTACTTTTTTCTGCGTTAGTAAAACCTGCTGAGTTTCTGCTGGTTGGTTTCTAGGCTTTTGTTTTGTAAAAAGCTCAAAAGTTATAACTCCTAATGCAGAGGTGCACTAGAAAACACTACCGGAAAAATATATTTGACATTTAACACGATCACTATGTGGTTTTATTCATAGTTTTAATTTTTTATTAATTTAGGAAATAATATTGTTGGAGGTTTAAAATGTCTAAATGGATTCAAGTGAAGGAAACCTCAGATTTTTATTTTACACTTTTAATTTTCATGGCAATACAGTACATTGACATAGCCTATATCCCTCAGAATTCAGCCAGAAATATTTTTTATTTTTCAGATAAAATTGTATAAGTTTTGTGATAAAAAACAGGAAGCTTCCTAAGATATCTGCTTTGATCGCTCCTTGAAAATAAATCAACTAGATAAAGGCTAACCATCTCATCCTCCCATAAAATTGATGCAGCGTCTTGTGCAGAGATTTAGATTTCAGATCACACTTCTCTGCAGGACTCGTTTCCACCTCAAGTTGCAAAAAGGGACTCATTCTCACACTGA